CATTTCAATTGCTATCAACTGAGTAAAGGAAAAACGTTGTACAAATTGTTTGTTGAAACTTGTCTCATTTATCTTTTACCCTTTTTTTTTTGGCAGATGATTGGGACGATTGTTTAACGGGTTCGAGTTTTTTGCCGCACGTGATTACTGTGAATGCTGGCGAGGTATATGTAGTGAGATGGAGATGAAACTTTTGGTCATATTGTTATGATGTAGCATACCTAGCAAAATAAAAATTGAAAAGGCAAAATTGTTATGGAACCTTTTAGTATTTGTTATAATGAACTGTATTTACTACTTGATTTGATTCCTTTTGGTTGCTAGGACATATCGGCAAAGATTGTGGAATTCTCTCAACGTGGGCCGCGTAGTGTTTGCGTGTTATGTGGCAATGGGACAGTTTCGAGTATAACAATCAGACATCCTAATTCATCTGGAGGCACTTGTACTTATGAGGTCCACTGATTCCAATTTCTTGATTTCGACTTGTGTTAAACTAATGAACTCATGTCATTCATATGAGAATATATAATAGTGTTAATAGTATTAGTTAGTGAGGGATTTCTAAAAACAAATACTACCTTCTATTCTTTTTATTTGTTGTTTTGGCTTTATTGACCATTAATCAAATAGATGATGTTTTGGATCTTTTATACATATTTTTCTATTGTTACCCTAATTTAACTAATACATTACACATTTTGGGAGGAAAGTTGTGGAATAAGATGAGTTTTCTCTCTTAAAAGAACATAAAAAAGCTGAAAAGAAAGAAATTAATTAATTTTAAGTTGCTTTAAATAAGGCTAATATTGGCAAGTAAAAATTTCTTAATTTATGTGTTAAAGCACAAAACGACATTTAAAAAGAATAGGAGGGAGTATATGTTATATAATTAAATACAACCGTATGTTAACGAGTAAGCAACAATGGGACCTTGTAATGTAAGCTATCTGTTGCTAAAATATTAGTAAATTTGGTTCCATTTTTCTTGCCCATACGTTAGTAAACAAAATGATCTGTAGCTAAACTGAAGAGATTACATAGATTTGGTCTATCGTTGAATTTACCGAACCTTTGTGATTTTTCCTACTGTCTGGATAAAGGGAAGCACAGCAACATATGGAGCACTTGATTTATGATTTTAACAGATCTTACTTTTTAACAATAAAAATATAAAGTCAAAAGTACGCATTTGTAATTGCTTCATATTTTACGTGTTAAACTTTTCGAAAATGCGTATTTCTTTTTTCTGTAGCATGGTGTTGACTAGATACTGCTTCTCTTTTACAGTTCTGATCTTGTGTTGACCTAATCGGGTTTCTTTCTAAATATTTATTTGTCTAGGGTCTATTTGAAATTCTTTCTTTCACTGGATCATTTAATCCGATCGAGATAGAAGACTCCAAATTCGGGAGATGTGGCACAATGACCATTAGTTTGGCGGGAGCTGATGGTCGTGTAATTGGAGGTTTCATTGGCGGGCACACGATAGCCGCTTCCCCTATAAAGGTACATTTTTCGGTGCCAATGTGTGTCACTTATATATATTTGTATTGCTCAACATTCAAAATCCCCCAAACAATAGTAAATAAGTAAGTAATTAGTAATTACGCATTCGAAAGTCCTTACACAGTTGCAACTAATTTACAAAGGGGGTTAGGATTGAGTGGAAGTCTCAAATGGGATATTGCCTTGTTCATGTGCATTTTATCTTAGGTTTATCTTAAGTTTCACATTTTTTTTATAATATAAATTGGCCTTATAATCAAAGGCATCGGCCATTTTACAAACTTATTAGTCATGTTAACTATCAAAGGCATCGACCAATTTCACCTTTCTTATATTTTTTTTTTCATTTTTATTTCTCAGGTGATTGTTGCTAGTTTTCTACTGGGTGAGACTTACCCTGTCCTAAAACCACCTAAGCAGAAAATGGAAAGCCCATTTGCACCCGATGGGTCGGGCCCAAGTGGTCCTCCAGGCCCAGCTGTCAGTTTCGACAAGCGGGTCATAAGTTTTGGCAATGCCTCACAAGGGCCCAGCCGTGAAAGCCCAAACACCAATTGGGAGCCCACACAAGTTGCAGAAAGGCCCAGAAAATCGACTGCAGACATTAATATATCCTTGCAGGGGTAGCTATTTCAGCATTGCTGCTAACTGTTGTCGGCCGCTAATCGAACCACGGTTAAAAGCAAGACATTTTTATCTGTATTATTCTTTATATATCATTATCAATGTTTAGTATAACTCCAGCTGCTATAGTAGGGTCTTTAGTCTTAAATTAGTTCCACCTCTTGTGTGAAATTTGATGGTTTCTTTAGGTGTCACACATATGGCTTGGCTTGTGTGGTGAAAACTTATTTGCTGATATATTCAGGTCCGTTTCTTTAGAGGATCCAGTGCAAAACAATAAAAGGAGCCATTTGTATTTACATCAAAAAATTTGAGAAGAAAATATTCAATATCACCATGATCAAGAGGGATATTGATTAGAATATATATAATTGTTTGTTTTTAAAGTAAAATAATGTCTTATGTCATTGTGTGAAAATATTAAAAAGGAAAAATTTACTTTAATACTTGAAATACATTTCTTTTTCATTTTCTCTGTTGGTACTTAAAGTTCGTACACTTGTTTTTAAAATCTTAAAAAGTCTTTAAAAATTTCAATTGAATACAATTCTCTTAATCAGAATTGATTCTAGTATTCCAAACATTAATCATCGATTTTTTATCCAAAACTGCTAAAAAATAACTTCGCAGCCCGGTGCGGCTTCTCAATTGGCGGATTTCATCGTATCATACCATATCCAAGCTCTCGTCTTGATCTACCTAACAGTGGCTTCTATCTCATAATGCGAAATCTTGAAATTTGTCAAATCGTTAAAGTTTTCTAATTTGTCAGCTAAAATGTACCTTATAGTTTGGTCGAATGTTACCGGAGATCCCGCCCTTGGATTTTTTTAAAAGTTATAAGCATAAAAAGGATTGGTTGTGCCCCTTTGATTGTCAATCGAGTCTCTCAATCATCGATAATATATTGGTAAAGTTTTCAGTTTTTGGGCAAATCGCGACGATTGAGAATTTGTGAAAAAAATTAAAAAATTAATTGCACCTCACCGCTAATATTTGAAAATTCAAACTAAATACGTGCCTAAAATTTCTTACACTAGGCCCTCATTGGATACAGATTATTGGATACAAATTATTTGGCCGCTTTTGACCTGATATATTGTTTAACTCACATCTAATTCAACTCAACTCTCTTTTAATATTGTCAATATAATTAAATAATATCAATTAATCATCCTTACATATCATATCAACTTTAATTAATTCATTGTTTATCCACTCATATAATTTCAATTGCTCATCAGTTTAAATCACTTCTCTCTAACTTTTATATCAAATCAATATTAATATTATATTTTAAATATTATTCAATACTAACTTCAAATCACACTCAAACATAACTTAATCCTTTTAATATTAACCATGTCAATCAAAATCAAATTAACTTATATCAACCACACCCTTTAACCCCTACTTATATTCAACTTTATTCATTAGTTTAACTCTTGATTACTAATCAAATAAATAACTTGGACTTCGTAAATCTGATAGATTTTTGGACAGTCAGCGCGTGCTTGATACAAATATATATGTTCAAAACGATTTTTTTGTTAATCAAAGTTAATTTTGAAAAAAGTTAGTTATAATTAGTTGTTAGTGAGATTTTGAGTTTATATAAAAATAATATTTAAAATAAAATAATTAAAATTGATTTGATGCAAAAATAAGAGAGACGATCTGGAGTGATGATTAGGTAAGATTATGTGAATGGACGAATGAATTAAAATTGATGTGATGTGTAATAATAATTATTTAATATAAGTTTTTTTCTTGAGAAAAAAGATAGCGAGACACATACAAAGCAAAAGGGCAAAGTCCCATTCAATCTTTTCTGAAACCCCAGCAAAATTTCATCTTTCTTTCTAGTGTGCGATTGTTTCCATCTCTTGATCTGAAACCATCATGACCAAACAACAAGCAAACTGGTCTCCTTACGACAACAATGGAGGGTAAGCTTACCCTTTAGCCCTAATTCGAATTTTTGGACCAATTAGATCTCCATATGAATACTGACTGATGCGCGCGTGTTGTGCAGGACGTGCGTCGCGATTGCCGGAGCTGACTACTGTGTGATTGCAGCCGACACTCGAATGTCCACTGGATACAGTATTCTCACTCGCGACTACTCCAAGATTAGTCAGCTGTATGTATATTTTTATGTGTTTTGGTGTGTGTTTCGTTCTGATTGTCTGATGTTCTGCGATTTTTTTTGTTCTTTCTTTGTTACGAGTTTGAATGTTTGGAAAAAGCGCACCTTTTGGTGAATCGGGTGTTTGAAGTGATTGACGCTGTATGCTGCTGACTGAACAAACAAATAGTTGAATGGAAAATTGCTTTGACGCAATCATCTTGTTTAAAGTGTATAGAAAAGTGTAGTTTTATATGCTAGGTGAATGAGAGAGGAAAAGACTCATCTTTTCACCATTTAAGTAAGAAAATATTTATGTTTTGCATTCTTTTGGAGCATAAGTTCATGTACCAAAAGGACAATAGCTTGTCGTAAGCTACGTGGATGAGCATTAAGATCTTAGCATGGATGAGTATTAAGATCTTAGCATTGTTTAAATTGGTGACTTGGTTATATTTTTTTGGCCAATAAAGTATTTGAAAAATCAGCTTTTATTTGAATAACTTCTTCTTGCGAACCGAACTTAAATTTGAGACTCATGAGAATCATCTTGTTAGGGAATATTCAAATTCAAATTTTCTCTAAATTGCAAAATTGCAATTTTCTCTAAATGTCATGCATGTTGTTTCTTTATTTGATTAATTATGTTGTCTTTGGGGATTCTATGGTGTGGATACAAATGTGACCTGACCTATTACTATGTATTTTGGACATTGTAGAGCCGACAAATCCGTGATGGCGTCTTCAGGTTTTCAGGCTGATGTTAAAGCTCTGCAAAAGGTCTTGGCTGCCAGACACTTGGTGAGTTCTTGAATATGTGATACCGAAGTTATGATTAACTATTAGTGTATTCTTTATCCTCTCTGTATCTTACTATATTTGCCTCTTTGTGTGCATAACATGCGTGTTATGTGTGAGTATGGAAATCAAATTGGCAATCAAATGTTTGCTTAGAGTGAATTGTAGCTGTTTCCTCATTGAAATATATAATTCTTCACCTTCATGGACTAAACTACAAAGACTGATTGTTGTAGTATTGAGGTTTTACATAATTTAGACTTTTCTTGTCGTTAATAGTTGATGTTCCTTCTCTTTAATCTGAAAATTCTTTGCATTTTTTCCTGCGCTTTTCAAGTTGTTCTAAAACTAATTCCGACTGATGAAAATTGCAGTTAGAATATTGAACGATCCTATATACAGCATACCTTATGTAATTCTTCATATATATCGTCATGGTAATTCCAAATTTTGAATTATCATTTCTCAGAACTGTTGCTTAAAAACTTAATTTTTGTGTTTGATTTCAAGATTTACCAGCACCAACATAACAAGCAAATGAGCTGCCCAGCCATGGCTCAACTGCTGTCTAACACCCTGTACTACAAACGTTTCTTCCCATATTATGCTTTTAATGTCCTGGGTGGCCTTGACAGTGAGGGTAAGACTGTCAGTTACTTCATTTGGAAATACTATTTCAAATCTTTCATTCTTTCGTCTAGTTAATTCATCTCTCTCTCTCTCTCTCTCTCCTTGAATTCCTACAGGAAAAGGCTGTGTCTTTACATATGATGCTGTTGGATCTTATGAGAGGGTGGGGTACAGTGCCCAAGGTTCTGGTGCTACTCTTATCACGCCATTCTTGGACAACCAGCTCAAGTCTCCAAGTCCTCTATTATTGCCTGCCAAGGTTTGTCTTGACCAAGCTCTTTTTCTATTTATTTCTGCATTCCCCTATTCATTTAATTAAAGAATAGCTGAACGAACGGTTATTAACATTGCAGGATGCGGTGACTCCACTTTCTGAATCAGAAGCCATCGACTTGGTGAAAACTTGTTTTGCATCAGCTACAGAAAGAGATATATACACGGTAAGATTGTGTTCTCTATATTTCTATGGGAACAACCTAATATGACCCAAGTGTTAGAGAAGAAAAGGGTATTCGTTTTGTTTGTTGAATTTAGCCCCCCTGTGGAATTTGTCGTCAAGTATTGACCTGCAATCAATTTTTAACATTTTGAATTTGATTTTAAAGGGAAAACTAGAACAACTAGACATTTCAGTGTTTTATGTTAAATTGGTTCGAGTGATATGGCAAGCTTATCCTTGCATGCGCAGAAAAGTGTGTGTGTTGCTACAATGTGAATGATAGGTTCATTCAAGATGCTGACCATTGTATTTGTCCCGTCACGCATTTGCATTTGCCACCTGACATGCTTTAATTGGTGATGCTACCTCCTCTCAATAAAAGAGTTCCGACTAGAAATGAGTACTGCATGACTAGATAAAAGATATGTTCATTATCAATCTCAGAAACTAGGCTTGTATGTTGCTATTGATTGACATCATACGTGTTATCTCCAAGTCCAACTGTGCAAACCCGTTATATATTGGGGGTTTTGGTTAATGTGCTATATCGCTATCACAATAGGAAATGGGGTTCAAATTACATAATATATCTTGAATTTTAGTCTAATTTACAATGCATTAGCCATCTTTCAGACTTTCAGTATTATAAATGCCTCATGCTTCATTGGTCAGAGATAGTTTGTAGTAATCATCCCTGCAAAATGAAGCTATTTTCTATAAATTAGCTATACTAGCATTAGTTTTGTCGAATGTTCAAGTTTGTGGCCCCACCTCATTACATCCTATTGTGTTTGTTGCAGGGAGACAAGCTAGAAGTACTCGTACTGAACGCCAGTGGTATACGCCGTGAGTTCATGGAGCTTAGGAAAGACTAATTTCAAACATTTGGCTTCTTTTGCTCCATCTATTTATTTATATCATGAATTGGGAGATGATGAACCAGTTTGTATTTTGTTGTCTTAGAGCACTTCAAAAGTTCAACTGCCCTTGTTACCTCCAATTTGAATTAACAACTGCTTGTGTTTTAACTTTATTGGGTTATTTAACTAGTAACTATTCCAGTGCCTGTGGGACATGACACATATTTACTGGAAATTTTATCATTAATGAATGTTTGAATTGTCATATATATGCACTTTTACAACCCGGTTCTAGTTTTGAACCAAAATTTAGGTGAGAAGTAGTCCAATAATGGGCATATGATTCAATTGCACTAAAAAAGACCGTCTATTTTTTATAGTTACAAGTCAAAATATATTTCCAATGGCAATAAGTTTTTCATATATTACAATTTTGATCATAGTTACTATATGTAAGATGAATAAAACTATTACCATCTTTACATTAGCTTATCAATTTATTTTTTTACATGCAGTAAGATGTCCATTCGAAAATTGTTATGGAATGATTTAGTTCACGTATCATATATAAAACATAAAGTACAAAAAAAAAAAAGTTATAAAATTTTAATAATAAGGTAAAGACAAATTTATAGTTATTGATAAATGAAATATATATAGGAAAAGGATATAATATATGCTAATTTAGGAAAAGAATAGGTAAAATAGTTTATGATAGTATTCAAACCTAGTTGGTAATATCCAAAGTTGTATATGTAGCAATATGAAACATGATATTTTACCAACAAATAAGCATACAAAGAGTGTCCTGAACCTGCCACTTAAGTTCTACATAGTAACAATAGGTTTCTGCTTACAGCTTACGGCAGTAGGCAAAATTCATGACTTTCACAAGCTAGCAACTATTGGTCTTCTGTATGTAAATACGTATATAAACACATGATACAAAGAAAACAAGAGAGATTATAAATTCTTACCAAGTTCAAAACATTTCTTATGTTTGAATTATTTTTTGTAATGTAATAACCACACATAGATATAGCAGTTTTGGGATAAAAAAAGTAGGGTGTGTTTGATAAATCTAACTAAAATGCTAGATGGTTTATAAGAGAATTTCTCTTATAATTGATCTTAAAAATGATGGCTGAAAAACTAGCTTATGTAGTAAAACTAGTACGTATTAAATCAATGAAGGAATGTTGATTGGTATAAAAATAATTTTGAATATTTATAATTACTTTCTTTTATTTTATGTTATATAATAATTTAATATATGATTTATATGTTTATTTCACTCGTTATAAAATAGTTGTCATTTTAGATCTTGTTTATAATTAAAGATAATGAAAATTTAACATATTCAAATATTATCAATAAATAATACCCACAGGCTACTTCTCTCTCTATATCTTCTATTACTCATACATTGTTACAATATATTATTTTTATTTTTAAATAAGTTAGGCTAAAGTTGAAAAATTGCTGCAAATACTATAGCAAACACTTAATTGAAAAAGATTGTAATATATATTATTTTATTTAAAGTTAAAAAAATTATTAATTTTTAAATGCATCAATCTATTAATTTATATGAGATTTGTTATGATATTGTGAATCGCAGTAGGAATTTTTAAAAAATTGGTTTGGTGCAATTATTGATAAAACCAAAGGACATTTTCGAAGTCCTTGGATAGGATCGTTACGAAATGAATAAAAAATCGTAGGGATTTGTTAGTAATGTTGAGATGTCAATTCTATTATATCAATAAGATTTTTGCAATCGATTTCTAAATTTATTTTGTACTTCTATTCTGCAATGTTCTTATGCACATTTCGGTTTACATATGACTGGATATCCAACAAAACAGGAGAATACATGATTTTATATTAAGGTAAAGATTGATTTGTTATTAAAGATAAACTAGTGCAATACCCTACACGGGTAATTGATAAAAATATGGTTTGATCAATAAAATATGTAGAATTACAAATTTATATAATTAGTCGGAAAAATAAAAATGTTAAACAATTAACAAAGTACTAACAAAATTTAAAATGTTATTTTAAATTTTGAAAAACTTGTTTATATACAAAATTAACAATTTTAGTTATAATATTGTCATTGTTGTTGCAACAACAATCATATCAATATTAAGAAAGTGTTGCTCATGGGGTTAGTAGAATAGAATGTTATTTAATGAAGATGTAAAAAAAAGAAGTAACAGAAAAAATTAGCAATTTTAACATATAAAATTCATATAAATCACCTCAATGCAAAACATGAGAATTGGAACAAATGACTAAAAAAAGGTTACCATGCAGGTTAATGTTTACTAATCCTAAAATATTAGATTAAATAATAAATTGTACGCCATCACCAAACAGGCATGGATAGGAATAAAAAATTCGCTTGAATAGATGTATATATTTTATAATTTTTACCATTAATTAATGTTGAACAAAGAAGAGAAAATTGAATTATGATTTCTGGAAGTGAGATATTATGCAAATATATATATATATATATATATATTATAATGTTAAGCAAAAACTGAAAAGCAATTAATTTTAATATATATATATATATATATATATATATATATTATAATATCAAGTAAAAATATATTATAATTTTGAAGGGGACCAGATTAAGCAAAAATATATTATATTAAGCAATCCGATTTGTTTTTGTCACATCGATTACGGCAAAGATTAAACAAAAATATATTATAATATTAAGCAAAAAATTCTATTTACACGGCATATAAGAATAAAAATCCTATCTATTTTGGAGTTGGAGGGAATTGGACTAACAAAAATCCTATTTATTAAGTATTTTAATTTAAACAATTAGAGAATGTAATTATAGTATGTCCGAACCTATTTATTTTAGAATATAATTGTATTAATTTTTATACGAACCAAAATCAGAAGCATGTAATGTTGCCAAGTAAGCTTCCGAAAAGTACGAGCTAGTCATTTAAGCTCAGTGCATTTTGAAATTATATGAAGGGGGATAGTTAAATTTCTTTTGATATTTTGGAAAACTGGTTTATAATTTTTGGAAAACTAAAACAGTTGAGTTATTGATATAAATAAAGTGATTATAAACTAATCCTCTTGATCAAATAATTTTTGAAGATACGATAAAATATATTTTGGTATATCGTTGATTACCAAATGAATGGTATATGGTCGAATACCAAATGAATAAAAAATCATCGTGATTTGTTATTAGTGTTGATAAATAAGATTCCATTGTAACATTGTGATAAATATAATAATAAAATTTTTATAATTTATTTTTATTTTTTATTTTGTAATTATATTTATAATTTTATCGTGCATATTCAAATAATATTTTCTAATATTATTTGTCTCCTTCCACTTTCTATTTGTTCGAATATGTAAATAAATCGCGAATACGATCCAAGTAATAAAAGCCCAAGTTTCCTTTGGGTCCCAACTCCAATAGGATCATCACGCTTCATTAGCCCATACTGCTCCTGAAAGAATTCCTTTGGATACCATGAGACGGGCCTTGGAAAGTTTTAATATAAGCAGGAGGGATTCGCAGATCTTCCAGACGTAGAGCACGCAAGGCTTTGAATCCAAATACATTTCCTACAATGGAAGTAAACATGTTAGTAACAGAACCTTCTTCAAAAAGGTCTAAGGGGTAAGCTACATAACAGATATATTGATCTGTTTCTCCAGGAACGGGCTCGATGTGGTGGCACCGTCCTTTGTAACGATCAAGGCTGGTAAGTCCATCGGTCCACACAGTTGTCCATGTACCAGTAGAAGATTCGGCAGCTACTGCAGCCCCCGCCTCTTCGGGCTAAAAAAAATGAAAAACTTTCTCAAGATGTTTACTCATTCACTTGAAATTTTCAAAATAGTTCGGTTGAGCTTGCAAATCCACTTATTGAATAAGTAAAGAGTTGGATTGGATTCGATTGGATGGCACCTACTCCCCTATAGCTATAGTAGGGGAGTGCAATCACTTCCATATAGTAGGGGAGTGATAGGGCCTAAATAGGCCCCCTGGGGCGAAAGGTTTTGAACCTTCGACTGTACGGGACCAAAGCCCGCCGCCTTACCACTCGGCCACGAACCTATATTTGTTCAATGGATACAAGCGGCTCATGGTAAAACTTCATATGGGTTTGATCTACTTTTATCTTCAACAAGTGGTCCAACATTCAATGCGGGTCTTTCAATAGGATTCGCGGGCATGTCATGCCCTGGTAAGGTTCTTTGCTCTGCATCGAATTAAACCACATGCTCCACCGCTTGTGCGGGCCCCCGTCAATTCCTTTGAGTTTCATTCTTGCGAACGTGTTATTACTCATTTTTGTACTTGCTGTTTTATTTTCCAATTATTTCTTCAATTAGGAAAACGAAAGAAAAGAAATAAGAATATATTCAATAAACGTTTTTTAAATACATATTGTATGGTTGGTTATCAAAAGAATAAGAAATTGCAGCGATTCGTAATTAATATGAAGAACCTAATTTTTATTGCGATAATTATCATAGAATACTTTTCAAAATTGATACCATTTTATTTATATAGACGTGCTATTAACCCGACTGCATCATTTACAGTAGGTAGATATAATTTAATTTTTATCAGTTTTATAGATATTAAAGTAACTTTTTTACTATATTTCCTTTAATAGTTAGTTAATTTGTTTAATTATAAAGTCAAAATTACTATTTTAGAATATTCCATCAACCTCTTTTAATATCTAGTAAACTTAGTTGATAAGTGAGTTGAAATTAATAGTTTTTTATTTTTAAAAGCTACTAGAGAAACTTATGAGATAAGCTTCAATTTTTTTTAAGGCTATGTTTGATAAACCTCATAAGCTAGATTCTAGAATTTTGAGCTTATAGCTAATAGTTTATTAATTATGATAAAAGTGTTTGATAAAATTAGCTGATAAGCTAGCTGAAATAAAATTTCATTGGTCTTATTTGAAAAACTACCTAACGAGACTTATGAGATAAGCTCAAGATTTTTGAAAAAACGCGTCCTAACGAACCAAACTTATTTGAATACAAAAAGCGTATAAACTAATCAAATAAACTATAAGCTAACTTATATACTTACCAAACATAGCTTAAATAGTTTATCCTACCAAACTAAACTTATTAAATAAGAAAAACTTGTAAGCTAGTTCAATAAATCATAAGATATATTACTTATCAATCAGACTCTTAAATATTCAGGTGAGATGCACTTTTCTGTAACACAAATCATTTTAAGAATGCCATATATAAAACTATTGAACATTTGCAATATTTTTTAATAGAAAAAAGAGATAAAACATCGACATGCAAAATGGGGGTATTTCAAAATCATATTTCGATTTATACTTCATTCTATTGAATGATTAACATGTGTATAATTGTGATGATACATTCATCAAATTAAAGGAAAACCTTTAACTGACACATGGTTTTAAAATATAAAATCTCACCCCAAATATGGGAAAATTATTCCATTTTAAAATCATGTTCAATTTCTGCTTTTGGATGATTAACAAGTGTAATTGTTATATTCAGGGGCGAAGCCAGAAATTTTGGTTGCTGGGGTCGGCCATAAATCCGCCCCTGCTGTCGGGGTCTTATTAATTTTTTAATGGGGTCTTACACGGTGAAATTTTGTTACGTACAAGTGGTTCAACGCAAAGCGTCGGTGTCGAACGACCCCAGCCACTGAACGTAGCTTCGCCACTGGTTATATTATCATCTACACTAGTGATTCATTCAATAAAATAAAGAAAATATGAATTATAATATGATTTTGAAAGAGAAAATCTGATACAAATAGTCGTTTTGTTCAACTTCTTTTCAAACAAATTTTAAAACTTTTTGAAATAAATAAATAAATAAATAAATTGCCAAATAAAATCCTTTTATTTGTCCACCATTTGTTGAGGATAAATTGACGAACAACAAGTCAACAACAGCTCGTCCCCTTAATTCGCTTCACCATGGAAACAAACAAATATTACAAACTCTCTCTCTCTCTCTCTCAAATCTCCCACTCCAAATAAATTCCATTTCCCTTCTGTTGCTACTGACAAAAACTACAGCAAACCTCCTCGTCTCACCACTTTCTCGTTTCTCTTCTCTCTATCCCTCGCACACAGTACACATATAGAGAGAGAAACTGAAGAAAAATCCAAAAAAACAAGAAACCCACAAGAAAAAAGTAATCTTTGTGCCAAGAATAAGCGAAGAACAAGAAAATGCTGCCATTTAGGACACTTCAAGAAGCAGAGCTTTTTCTAGGTAGAAATCTGACATTTGCAGAGGAGTTATGGTTCAAATACTCTGCCCAAAAATCGGATTATTTTCTGTACTGCCACAACACGATTTTCCTGTTCATTTTCTACACGGTGCTGCCATTGCCGTACGTGGCTTTGGAGCTCACGCGCTCCCAAAGGATCGATAAGTACAAAATCCAGCCAAAGACCAAGAACTCGCTTTCGGATATGCTCGATTGCTACATAAAAGTTCTCAAGACGTTTGTTGTTGCTGTTGTGCCCCTGCAAATCTTTTCTTTTCCCGTCATTCAGGTATATGGTTGAATGTGCTTGTGTTTGTCTTAAAGATTTGTTCTTTTTGGCTGCATTTGCTTTGGGATTTTAGAAAATGGGTGTTTTTTGGGGAAAAAAATAATGTGTTCGTATGTTTCGTGTTCTATGTTATGTGGGTTGATAGGATTGGACACGTATTGTGCAGCTCTGTTATTAAGATTGGTATGATAAGATAAAGGTTGTGTCTTTCGTCTTGTGGGACATTCTTTTTAACCTTTGTATGAATTCTTGGTTGATTGAATATGTTTGTGTTTGTCTCAAGCTTACTTTTTTGTTGGTGCATGTGAGTTGGGATTATAGAAAATGGATGACTTCAGAGAAAATATAATATGATCATGTGTTCCGTGTTCTTTGTTATGTGGGTTGGTACGCTGGATCACGCATTTTGCAGCTCATGTATTTGGGATTGATATTATGAAATAAAGATTGTGTTTTTTTGTCTTGTGGACCTTTTTTAGTTAACGTTTACATGGATTCTTGGTTGAGATCAGTCAAGGTTAAAAGGCCAAAAGGGTAAGGATTTTGGAAAATTTNNNCATTGAACTTGAATGCATAACCATGAAGTTGTGAACCAAAGCTCATCCATTTCTTGAAATATAACACGGCATGCTCTGTTTTTCATGGTTCTAGCTTGTTTTATTCTCTTGTCTTGTTTAAATCCTTAAATTAATAATAATTTTCTGATGCTCATGTTCATATAATATCCAAATTCTTGCAGATGATTGGAATCAGAACAAGTTTGCCACTACCGTCAGGCTCCGAACTTTTCTGGCAAATATTGACATACTTTTTAGTCGAGGACTATGCGAATTATTGGATGCACAGATTTCTACATAAAAAATGGGGCTACGAAAATATCCACCGAGTCCACCACGAGTACACGGCCCCAATTGGGTTTGCAGCCCCTTACGCTCATTGGGCCGAGGTCATAACCCTGGGCTTGGCCTCATTTCTTGGCCCAGTTATTGCTCCAGGGCATATGGTCACTTTCTGGCTATGGATGATTGTGAGGCAAATGGAAGCCGTCGAGACTCACAGTGGGTAAGCATTATGAACACCGAATATCCGTCATTTTTCTCATTTTGTATAAATGAATCGGCACGTTGTAAGTTTTAAGCGTTTTGGGAAACATTTTGGATAAAGTTACTTACTTTGAAGTTTTTCAAATGTTAGTTACAACTCACAACTTACAAGTAGGCTTTGGTTCAGCTTCTACACACAATACAATACTTCTATATTGAAATTCATTCTACAATTACGAAAATATTTGTTGCTATTTTTTCTAATTTTTATCCGTTTTTTCAGGTATGACTTCCCGTGGAGTCCTTTGAAGTACATTCCGTTTTATGGTGGGGCCGTTTTCCATGACTACCATCACTACGTGGGAGGGAAAAGCCAAAGTAACTTTGCGTCGGTTTTTACATACTGTGATTACATCTATAGGACAGACAAGGTTTGTGATTTTCTTTTCTTTTATTTGCTTTCGCTTTTACCATTCTTCGAGGTTATTTCAAGAACCTTTTAATGAATGAGTGCTCTTTTGTTGTCTAGGGATATCGGTACAAGAAAGAAGTTTTCGACAAGGTAACAGCTAGACTTTTTTCATCGAAAATGATATAGTATGAATGCTATGTATGTAGTGTGCATTCTGCATTTGTTGTTAATATAATGTTGAATAATGTGATCCAAAAATTGGAAATAAACTAGTCTGCAGAAGCCATGTAAATGAAGTGACTCAGTTAGGACAAACAATAAAACATAAACTTTGTGTTACTCTCAGGACTGTTTAATGGTTTGGATCATGAATTCACGATATAATTCATTTCGAATCGCTTATTCTTTATTCTTCTTCTTGTTTTTCAGACAAAGGAAAAAACTGACCTGAAGCAAGAGTGAGTGAGTGCAGAGAGTTTCCAGGCTGAATCTACACAAGAGTCTAAGTAGAGGGCCAGGAGTGTAACTAAATGAACAATAATTTTTTTTTTTTTTCATTTTTCTTTCATTTTTAGGCTAGAGTCCAATGTCTGGAAAAATCTACATTGGTCTGTTCTATACTAACTATAATGTTACATTTCACTCTTGATTTGGACCACTTTTTTAGTAGAGATGTAAATAGCAGTATGAATGTTGTTGCAAGAAATGATGTCATCGGTAAAACGTGTTGATTATGTTTTGATATGTCTGTGTTTGTTGAAGGTTTACTGGAGATGTATTTTGAATATAGTTCCATGGCTACAATCACTTGGTTATCAATATCATGACATTTCTCACTCATTTTTGTTCAAAATAATTACAATGGATCGACCCGTCTAATTATCAAGTTGTCTCACACAAAATTTTGTGTTTCGCAGTTTATGTTATCATTTAAACTGCATGAACTTTGGCACCTGGATCACGTTTCAACTTGTTGCAGCTAATTTATACGCATGCATTGTACAATTTCACTAATTTGTACATGTGGCATTGTGGCAAAAGATAGTTGACTAAACTTCTGAGCAATGAACTCAACAATGCGATTGCATCCATCAAGCAATTTGAAATTTGATCTTAAAAGTGTATAAAAGAGACACTAATTAAACCACATGGCATTAGAAAATTAACGAACCTTTTTCAAGCAACAAGCCCGTCTAGCTCAGTTGGTAGAGCGCAAGGCTCTTAACCTTGTGGTCGTGGGTTCGAGCCCCACGGTGGGCGATTTTTTGATTTTTTTTTATCATCTTTTAGTAGCTGCCTTTTTACATACTTTCCACCGTTATTAGGTCACAAAATTTATTCAGTATAATAATGCTTCTAGTTAAGATGAAATTGTTAATTAGTTCTTGAAATTTTAATTTTTTACTTTTGCTAGATATA